GACATTTGTCTCCAGTTGTTATTGATACGAAAAGCACAAAATAGCAAAACTAATGATCTCTTCCTGATTGGAATTCCTACTTCTAGATTAATTTCTTGAACAACTACAACAGTTTACCATAAATATACGGTTACCATTATTTTTCGTAAAAAGCTGTTAATAAATGGACTCACCTTTAAGAATATACTATAATCAGATTAGTGTTTTGTTATAAGATTTAATCACAAAATTGTAGTGTTTAACAATGTCGCAAATAATAAATAGCAGCAAAACTAAACCCGTAATTTTGTCGACGTTATTCGTCGAAATTTTAAATATTGCATTTCGAAAGCAATCCGCGCGATAAAGCTGGCACGCGGCAAGCATGTAAAATAAGAGAATGCGACTGCCTTTCATTATGTCTCGCGAAATGTATAGACGTTAATAAGCTGATATGTAGTAGTAGTAGTAGCACATGAATACTGATATAATTCCGCGTGGAAATTATAACAAAAGTCTCAGCAGAAGCGGCGGTTGCTTTTCAGATTTGTTTAGGTCTCAGGCATTTTTCTATGCGAAATAATATCCGAGCATGACGTACTCCACTACAATTCATCTAACAGTGTAAATAGTATGAGTAGTATTGGTGGTATAGTAATAGTCGTCGGCGAGCTAAAAGCGCGATCTCCCTCTCTCGCACGGTCTCTCATCGATTCCGATTCAGTTTTAGTTTCCTCCTCGTGTCAGGACGCGACAAAAGGATGATAACATTCGAGGAAAGCCCGTTTCCTCGTACAATGTAATCGCTAAACTATTATTCCCCCATCATTATTATTACCTGCCCTTATTATTAAAGCGACTCGATTTGATTCCATTTCACCTCTATAAATAAACCCACGCTGAAAACGGAACCAAACTTGCACAAATACCTCCTCGCACAGCATTTACACATTCATATTCGAAGCGATGAAATATCAAATCTGCACGCCGTCGTGTATGGTCGGTGTATTCGTATTTATGTTCTCAATAATATAACAAGTACTCCATTGTTTTCACAGGGTAAACCAAATATAGATTGCATAAGCCTGAACAATTCAACAAGTCACACGTCCACTTATTTGCTACCTTCTTAAGATATCCCATAAAAGTTCTATTTTTTTTTAAGAATTGCTTTCGATTATGATTATACAATTCTAGTATCTTGGTGAACATTTTCTGAAAGATAACATTATCACATTACTATTATCCTTTATGAATTTACCTGAAATATGCAATTTTTTTTTCAGCATTTACTTCTCCAAATATTTTGAAATAATTGAAAGCCAGTAAAACACCATTTTGACCCAGTCAGAATTAAGTATACATGCAAGTTGGTATACATAAATTCTAAGCCCGACCTAGACTAAAGAATATGAACTGAATACTGCTGGTATAAGTTATGTTGATAATAAAAAAAAATATCATCCAAAAAATCCTGATATTAAAGACAATAAACTATGTAAATTAACTTTGCCTGTGGTATATTCCAATAATGAAAATTAATATTTAGCTTTGTTAGGGAGATTGTTGTTACTATTTCAAAACATAAAATGATTAACAGAAAGTTACAAATTATAATAAATGTTCACAGAAATATTATTATTAATTTCAAAATAAGTTGGAAGCGGTCATATAGTTCTCTAAATATGTTTCATGTTGAATATGCATCAAAATATTATCAACCAAATGAACGATCCAAAAATATTGGTTTATCGCTACCAAATAACGAAGTTACAATGGAACAATCCGAAAAGACAAGGCAATCAACCATTTGAAGAATCCCAAAATACAATGTTTTCAATCAAGTGAAGAATATGAATATACAGGGCAATCAACACTGGCGAAATTGTGCACGGCTTAGATTATGTTAGGAAACTGGTGGATGGGAAAGGCTGTCAAGCAAATGAACGATCCAAAGTTACAATATTAACAACCAAGTGAACATTCTGAAAATATAAGGTTATCAACCAAATAAACGATTAAATTCTGGCTATTCATTAAATGATACATAGAGATTATCAATCAAGTGATTTATCAAAAATACATGGCGATCAACCAAATGACCGACCAACCAAATTAACATTGAAAACTATAATTGATCGAAATAAACCATTATAATATTTGATATCATGTCTCCGAGACGATGATTTATTATTGCTTATAACCATTAATTGTTAAGATATTATCAAACATATGCGAGAACACATGTTTCGTCGTACAATAAACGCGTTTGCGTTCAATTTTTTAACAATCTTAAAATATCTACAAATAAGTGAGATGCAATATTATTGTAGCTGAAAGTAGATTTAATTTAACACTCAAATTGAAAATTTAAATCTATAATTAGCCATTAATTAATAGTAATAATAACAAACCTTTATATAAAACCATCACTAAGCTACTTCATAGATGAAAATGGAATAATCGGAATATGTTCATGATTAAGAAAAACTCAAGTCATGAATGGTGTGGTAGCCGTGCTATTAATAGAATCGCGAGGTTGTGGTAAACGATTAGTAAATCTTGTATTATTCTCCTATTCGTATATATTGCCACTACGGCTGTTCGTGTAGAATTAGTATTCAAGTTGTCGACAAATGAAATTTTGATTTTTTTATTTTAAAATTTAAATTATTTTTTGACTCCTTATGTAGGTAATTTCCTTATTGATGAACCACTAACTACTTACAATAAAATTATCAAATTAGATAATTCAAAACTGCTCATCTTTATAATATTTCATAATATGTTCTGTTGCACCTGATATTTCTTTAAAAATGTTATAAACTGGTGGTCTTACAAATTTGGAACCTTTTTATATTTTCGCATCAGCTAGCAGCGAAACTATGTATTTAAACAATATGACGAGGTTTGTGTCATGCATAGAAGTTTTTAATCATTCCTTTTAGAATCAATAGAAAACGATATTACAAAAATATTAAATTATAAAATATTGTGAACTTATTTTTATTATAATAATTAATTATCCTTATATCTTTTGTCGTTGTTTATAAACAATAAAATGTTCATATTCAATCCTTTGGGCAATGTCTTTTGTTTCTTCTGTCAAAGTAGCCATTGATGTTCAAGACGTATTTAAAGTTTAATGTGAATTTCCATTTTATTACACAGTAAAAATAATAAATAATTACATTTTTAATTTTAAATGTATAAATAAATAAATCATATTCGGTAAAAATTATGAAATAATGGATTTAAGGTAAAGAAAATTATGTTGTTGTGTTTTATTGTTACTTATTTTTTTGATAGCAAACTCGTCATATACCTTCATATTTGTTTCATGTATACCATATGTGACCATAATTCCCAATTTTTGGCAATTTTTAACAATTTGTCCCGCAAAGTTTTTAAATATTCCTTTTTTAACAACAACAATTAATAATTAATTTTGTTTACATTATCTAATCGTATACAATCTATTAAGTTTGTTTTGTTTAGTTTTATGCGGTCTTAAATTTGATACCGGTTTGATAACAGTAGTTTTTTTGCTTACTTTCGTAAAAAAATGTATTTGTTTGAACTATTTTTTTAAATTTAAAAATGACATAATTAGTTTTTTTGCAACCGGTGGGTGTTCCAGATTTGCTTTTTTATTTAAATGACAACGAATATTTGATTAGACTGCGACCATTTTTTTGAAAAACAAAATCACGTTTTTGAAAAAGTACGGTCCTTTTGCACTTTGATGTTCAGTATTTTTTAGATAGAAAATATGAATATAGAGAACCTTTTTTTTCATACAAGATAGTGCCGCATACCATAGAAGTAATGAAAGGAATGTCAAACTTTTTTATCTCATGACACACTAGGCAATGACAATTTGTTTTGCGGCACACCAAATACAAAATTCAACAAAATGAAATATATGTAAAAAAAATAAATAAATTCTTAAAAAACATTATTTTATCAAACAAATTAAATCAAAATCTTCTACCTCCATTAATGTTAAGTGCTTATTGTCGTATTTTGTAAAAGGATTGAAATGATACAGAGAGGTTTTCTAGTGTATTCTGTTCTGACAACATTTCAAATTTGTTAGGAAATCCATATCCGCCTGCATTGAGTAACATTCTTGGTGCACAGTTCTAACTTGTCTGTGAAAGACTTTATTTTTCCAGTAATTGTGATAATATTTTGGTTTGCACCTTGTATAATCAAATTTAAAACGTTTTATAAATTCTAATTGCGGTCATGCAATGTACAATTTTCATTTGAGATTTTTTTGCAATACACGAGTCGAGTTTAGATTGCGCCATCAGTGCAAACGCTAATACAAGTTTGCCACTGCATCCCTCTCAAAGTGACGTTTTGGTTTACAAGGTTAAAGACATCTCCTGTTCATCTCCTTCAATTAACAATAGAAAAACTGGCTTATAATTATACCATGTTTGATAATTTTTAAAATAGAAATTAGTTAAGCTTTGTTGCTGATGTCCGTACTTTTCTTAGATTTGTAAGGCCCACAAGTGTTTGAGTTCATTTTTTGCTTCAGCAACTTAAGGAGCCGAATAAATATATTTTTTTAATTTTTCGCGGCCTAAAATATCTCATGGCACACTAATGGGTCGGGGCACACAGTTTGACAGTCACTGGGCACCAATAAGCCATAGACAATTCGCACATTCATAGCCAACATGTTATTTTTTGTAATACATTGTCATTTTATTATAAAAGTTCACCTCATAATTTATATTCCTTTATATGTAGAAAATTAATATTTTTAAAACAAAAATAAAATCACTTAAATAATTTCATAAGTCACCGGATTTGAGACTGAATATACATGTATAATTGGTTGTATAACTGCAAAAAATACTTAAATTTAAAACATATATACTTATAGTTAAAATAATGTATTTATTTATCCATAGTTAATTGAAAACATCTTCTAACATATATTTTATAACACATTAAAAAGCATACAGTGCCCTCTGTCATTTTCCAATTGTTTTGGATTGACATTGGTTGAAGCTGTCAAATGTCATTTCGGTGTGTGTGATTTTGCGAGTGTTTTCTAGAATTTTCGCTTCTATTGAAGTTGGACCCAATCCTAAGGGAGGTTTTTACAAACCTAATAGTAATTACAGAAAGTAGGATTATTTTCCATATTTAATTACGCAAGTAAGTAAGTCGAATGTGATAGTTAGCAATGAGCTACCATCTACCATTGGATCGATCATCACGACTCTGGTAACGCACATGTTTACAAATTTTTTGAGTTGTTATCTCATTTACAGGATGGCTAAATGGGGTGAGGGTGATCCACGGTGGATTGTGGAGGAAAGGCCTGACGCCACTAACGTCAATAATTGGCACTGGACAGAGAGGAATGCCACCCCATGGTCACAAGAGAAGATCAAGGAATTGTTCAAAGATGTTGCAGTTCCATCAGATGTTGCTACTATTACCATTGATGAGGTGGACAAGTTGGAAGGAGAAGCTTCTGCCAGTAATCGCAAAGGAAAGCTTATTTTCTTCTATGAGTGGAATTTGATTTTGAAGTGGTCTGGTGTATTAAATAATGGGTCTGGTGTCAAGTACGATGGTAAAATAACCATACCAAACCTCTCAGAGGAAAATGATGTCACTGATCTAGATGTAAGTTTTACTGAAATATAGTACTAATAGACTAAACTCAGAGTTTTAAGATACAAATCTCAGTGAAAGAAATGGATCAAGATGGTCAGATCTTGAAAGACATCATGCACAAACATGGCAAAGATGTTGTCAGGGATAGAGTGGCCAACTATCTGGCTAGTTTAACACAGGAGTTCTCTAAAGGTATGATTCTACCCAAAAAGGATGGAATTAAACCAGATTCTGTTAAGATTCTCACCAGTGGCTTCAACAAAAAAATTGACATGCAGCCTGTGGTTGAGGAAAAAAAATCTGTTGGATTAAAAATTGATACAACCACTTTAAAAATCAATCTCAAATTCCAATGCAAAGCAATGGAGTTTTATGATGCAATGACTAGGGTAGAAATGGTGACTGCCTTCACAAGAGGCGCTGTGAAACTGGAAGTGTTTAAGGGAGGAAAGTTCGAAATGTTTGGCGGTAACATTACTGGTATCTTTGATGAATTAGTTCCGGGTAAGAAGATCGTTCAACAGTGGAGGTACAAACCATGGCCAGTCGGACATCATTCTATTGTCACCATCAGCATTGACGAAAAAGTAATGATCGTGTTCACGTCATATTTTATATAATTACCATGTATTTGTATTGCAGGACGACCATACACAAGTGAAAGTTGTTCAAAGTGGGGTTCCCACAGCGGAGGCTGAAACGACGAGAAATAATTGGGAAATGTATTATTGGCAATCCATGAAGCGCACTTTCGGTTTCGGAGCTTTTATAGAGTAGAATGGGAATAGTTGTGAATATAATTTTTCATTTGGTGGATCATCGATTTAATTATAAAAAATATTGTTAGCAAATATTTCATCTCCGAGACGATTTTAATGTAAATCTAGTGCCCTAATTATTTTGCAAGAACATTAATATATTTCTGTGTTGTATTAAATTATTTGTTCTAACCGCTTTATCATTGAGGATTTCCATTTCATTATTATCGTGTTGAAAGTATCTAAATACAATAAAATAATTATGATAATTTGAAATGTTTCGCACTGACTTTTGTGAACCCAAATCTCCAGAATATACGAAAATATACTTGTTTCAGTGTTTGAATTCACGAAAGTAAACATAATGTAATATTCACCTTTACATTATAAATCATTAGCGATGAATTATTGTTTATTTGTGGAAAATGTTGAAGGATTGCTTGGTAGTTTGAAAAGTTGCTACAGTTAATACATTACAAATTTTTGCAAAATTAGTTTGGATTAATTTAAAAGACATTGTTCTTATGTAATCTGTAATTTAATAAAAATAATGCAAAAAATAATGATTTTTATTTTTCTACCTTAAAATATAAACGTATGCTGTCTTGGAATGACGATAAAAGTTCCATCACAAAAAATAATATAAATTTCCATAATCCGATCTTGAAGCTTTAATATACTTTTAATAATAACAACCATTCTAGCATTTTTTTTTACTAATTTTTGTAAACCAAGATATTCGACTGTTCCGAATCTTCTTAATATGGACAATCGTGAAAAACAGTGGTAATCCTAAATATAAACAAAAAAATAATTTTACTTGATCTGTACTGTTGGGAGTTTATACTGGAGAGGAAGAGGACTAATTTACCTCCAACAAGTAATCCCGTAAAATATTACTTGGAGAACCGAAGCTTTCTTTATTCATTGGCTATGTAGTTGCCTATAGTATATATTCTATAGATAGTACGGAGCTTTTCCGTAAAGGAGCGCTTTTGTACAATATCTTGTTTATTTTCAGTTGCGGTTTATTTGTGTAATAGCTTCGTTTGTTAGTCAAGAGCATTCTTGAATAAGTATTTCCTTTGAGAATTACAAGTTTATATAAAAGCAAAAGATGACTGATCATGAGCGCAACGTATATGCTAAACTGGAGGCGATTAAAGAAATCAGGTATGCATTTTGGTTGCCTTTCATTATTTATCAAGAGTTGTGACTGCCATGAAAAATCAATAATGCCTTGCACTTGCATCAGGGGGAAGACCATTCAGCTGGAGAAACTTAAAGCAAAGTTAATTTTGGAGATTGAAGGACAAGACCAGGAGGAGAAATGCTTATCAGAGTACAAATCAGAAATGGAAATGCTCTTACAAGAAAAAATGTCTCATGTTGAGGAACTGAGGCAAATCCATGCAGACATCAATGCTGTATGATAGAAATTTGTCTTTTTATTCAATTATTATTTATATTATTTAATTTCTGTAGATGGAGGGTGTGATAAAGCATGCTGAGGAGAGCAGAAGCAGATCTTTGTCAAATGCCACTCGTTTGCATGATGAGTATCTTCCATTGAAAGGTGAAGTTGACAGGTTGAGGAGGGAATGCCTGGGATTAGAGCGGCTACCTGAACTGCATGAGGAGGATGGGATGAATATTTCACCAGAGTAATATTGAATTGAGGGTGTAGACTGTATAATAATCTCCCTCAGTTTTTGCAGGCGTTTGTCGCAACTCTTCAATTCAACTAAGCCGCAACCGGCCAGTTTCAGCAAGTCCACTTCGGAGTGGACGAGGCCGTTGACTTCCACAGAGACTTCCATGGGTTCTCTGGCGGCGCCCATGCCGCCCACTTTTTTGCCGCCTCCGAATCCACTCCGACTAGTTACGAGCAAGCCGGATACTGGAAGGGCTACAACTCTATCGTCTTCTCCTCATCCGGGACCTCCAACACCTACCTTCAGGTCGGACATTGTCAATATGAGGTGCTATGGGATACACTTAAAGATAATTGCTCAACATATCAGACTGAGCAGAGTGATGCAGTTCCATTCTAAATATTACTTGCGTTTCTATTGAATTTCAGGCAACAACCACCTCCAATGAAGTCGTGTTTGAGCTGTCACCAGCAAATACACAGGAATGCGCCGATCTGTCCTCTATGCAAGGCCAAGTCTCGTTCAAGGAACCCAAAAAAGCCCAAGAAGAAGGAACATTGATTGTTTCATTCTCTTTGAAATTAATGGTATAGTATAAGTATCTTTCTCAATGTTTTAGATTAAGGACAAAAAAAAATGTGATTTTATAAATATAACTTACTGATCTCATTTCATCAGTTTATTCTAATCAGTGTTTTGCATATTTATTTAATTTAAACAATAATTAATTTATAACTAGAATTTTGCAGACTTTACTTATAATTACTACTAGCAAATTAAATTACAACTTTAGACAAATTATCTATGTAAGTAATTAAAATAATTCTTTCTAATAAGATTCTATAAAGTATATGTTTAAATTCATTTTTTATCACAAACATTCTGTGAATATTGGCACAAGAGGCTTTCAAGTAAAGTAGCCCTAAAACTTGTTTTAGAGTGCTCAATTTAAGCAAGATATATAAGATATAAATTATTTTAATCTTGCTGCCTCCATCACATCTGTAACCATAAAAAATACTGTTTTAATTTTATGAGTGAAAATTATTCAATTATATTAAATTATATTATATTTATTTAATTATAATTACTTTGAAGACATAAAATAAAGTATTTTTTAAGGTACCTTCAGTTTTATATGTTTCTGACAATAAATACCAAGACCATACCTTTTTCATGAACATTAATATGTAATTTGTATGTCATGTGTGAAAAAATCAGGGTTGTCAGGGACATGGAAGAGTTTGTTTGAACTTTGAATTGAATATTCCAACAAGAAAAAGAAATGGTATTTATCTTCATTCTCCTGCATATTATAATAGATATTTTTTCTTTAATTACGATTTCCCAATACCGACGGAGAATATTGTAAAAGTAGAACTTTTAGATCAGACATACTGAATGAGAGTAGAAGTAGAGATTGATGAAACAAACATTGTTAATGATAGTAATATACTTATTGGCAACAAACTAGTTAATTTGGATAGTAGAAGTGTTTTTTTTTAATCTTTTTCTTATCACACTTCTCACTTAGGTACATTTTCTTGGCTTCCTTAAATTATGATATTGTAATTTTTGTTTGTAAACTTGTTGCGTTATGGACTTCTTTAAAAAAATATAATTGAATTAATCATCTTTAAACTAATTTCGCGATACACTGATTGCAGATGACTTAAGTAGGCTGAATAAATGAGTATTGTTGGAGAAATTAATATCCATATAGCCGAAGGTGGAGTGCAAGAAGTTTTTGTTAATTGGATTATTCTATATCGCAAGTCCGACAACCGAAAGACCGTCTATATCAAAATCTCGACAACCATAATCTCGACTGTATCAGAATCTCGACAACCATAATCCCGACTATATCGAAAAGTTTTACAATATTTTTTTTAAATTATTTCGGAGCGTAGTCACCTTGTACTACTCGTTTATTATTAATAACAATAAATTAATTTATTTGATTTTGTTGAATTATTCATAATAAACCTTAACATTATGAAATAATCTCAAATAGAATTAGATTAATAATTGTTATTATTTATTATTAATAACAATTTAAAAGTTACGGAAAAATTTAAAAATGTTATTGTAGACATTTTCGATATAGTCTCGATTATGGTTGTCGGGATTTTGTATACATATTATATAGAAAATTAAAAGTGTAGTTTAAATCTATTTTCCAAATCGGATATTGTTTTATCTACTGTAATGTATTGCCCTCAGATAATATTACATAAACAATGAGCTAACTCGTGTAGTCGATAGAAGCATATAAAGAATGCATAACTGGTAGTATACACTATGGCTGCAAATATATGTATCTTTTAATTTTCTGCAATTTCTTCTACTTATTCGACAGACCTAGCAAATAATAATCAATAGTAATACGTATATATTAGGTAGGATAAATAGACGTTCAATTTGCGTCATAACGTATGTGCTGTTATTTTTTGAAGGTGACCGTAATAAGCGACAAAATAGATTAGTACTAAAACAGAATAGCGTAAAAACCGAACAGTGATAAAACAGAAGAAAAGAGATTCGTATCAATTTATTTATTGATATAAATCTCTCCGGCCCTATTTCTACCCCTTTCGGGTTTAACAGCCACCACAAATTTTGTTGATTTTTCGGAATTGAACCAACGTCCTTTCGTATCAGATTTCGTATGTCCTGATTTTATGCTGTTCAGTCTTGTATATCAAGTTCTGTTCTGGTGAGTTCTGTTTGGTCGTGTGTGTAGATATATATTTTTTTAAACGTTGGTTGCATTTGGGTTATCGATTCGTTGCATTGGTAGTACTTCCATGGCTGTTCGCCTAGCGACTATTGGTCCCCTGTCATTCAGTTAGAAGCCTGCGCAAAGATACAGTTATAACAGGGTATACTGACAGCCGTCAGATCTGTCATTATTAGTAACACATAGGCATTTAACAATTCGATATTCTGGAACGTATTGCAAATTGCTGCATATTACAGATTAGGTCGAAGTTCTATTACCATATCGACGATGAAGCTTCAAATATGCTTATGCTTCTTGCTGCTAACAGTGGCGAATTGCGAGAATTTCGGTAAGGATTTAGTTACTTTTTTATTCCAATTGGCTTTATAAATATTTTGTTACTAACTTATTTATATATTTGTATTATATCTGTTTTACAGTTAATGTCAACGATCATGAAGATTCTATTGGCACGTTGACAACATTGCAACCAAATCATAATGAAACAGGTAAATTTCTTTATTAATCATATAATGAATATTCTATTTCAAGTTTTTTAACATGTTATTACTAGATTCAGGACCAAACGTAGTTACAGAACCCAGCAAAAATGTTACAACTACTACTCCAACAACCACCACCAGCATCACCACTACTACTACTAATATTAGCACACCAACTACACATCCTTCAACGACGGTGATTTCCACAACAGTTACCGAGCAAATCCCGTCATCGAGCCCGATAACAGCAAATCCTGCGCCTCCAGCACCCACATCGAATCCTCACGCCAAAGGTAGGACATTCGATGGTCCAAGCTTCATCGGGGGTATTATTTTGGCCAGCGGTCTGACGGCCATCGGGTTTGTTGCATTCAAGTTCTACAAGGCTCGCACCGAACGCAACTACCACACGTTGTAAGAAGCAATATCTCCAATTCTATGAGGGGGGGAATCTCTTGAGCTCCTTTTCAATAATTAGCTTCTTTTTCATCGATCTCGAAAAAGTAAGGAGAAAAAAAAAAACTCAAACTAACAGTAATCTCTTCATTTATATTTCGTGACATGGTTGATGTGATATAATTTTTGTTTTAATCGTTATGTGATATTGTCCTTATGTTACTCGAATATTTGCTTATGGAGACGATGGCTGCGGTTTTTTGTTACACTACCAGAAAGATAAAATAGTAGCGTACATCATAACTGTTTATTTCGTCTTCTAATTTTCTTCCTCGTTATTTGCGGAATTATGCGACCTTGCACTCGCGATAGCGACTAAAAACACGTACGCTTCTTGAAATAAATCTTATTAATTTTAACTATTAAGAATGACACACATTTATATACATATATATATTTTTTAAGTTATATATATATGTATAGTATTTGGAGTAAAAATTAAAATACCACCTACATGAATTTTTTGAGTAATTAAAATAAATAACATATATTTTATACATTATATACATCAATGAAGAGAATATAATCTTTTAATTCTGTCCGTGTGATGAAGTGCTCTTACAATAGATAGGGATAGATATAGTAAAAGATATTTGTTTGTTTTTTATATAATTATTAAATGTGAGATAATGTTGGCATATTCTTTTATAGCAAAAAAAATGGGGTGCACTAGTCTATAATAATAATATATTGTTAATTCAAGGATTAATAGTAAATAGATATTAAATATTATTAAATCCTGCATATTTAAATGAAATGTCATTTTCTTTTGTTTTCTCTACATTACTTGTAATTGGACGAGGAGAAGTCGACACAAATAATAAGTCGGTTTTAATAAAAAGCAAAAATATTTTATTTCTTTCAATTAATCTCATTTCATTAAACCATTTTTTTATTATTATATTTATTTGTAAATTTTTAGGAATATGTTGGTTGTATATATTTTTTTTAAATTGAATATCCAAGGGCTTTAAGTGCTTCCAGATGACATCTGGCAATCTCTTCCAAAGTCCTGGTGCAGTCTCATATTTGCGATGTAACATGGTGCATCTGCGATTCTTCCGAGACATTTTGATTGAAATATTTGGATTTTTTAATATTTCACAATTTGGGTACAGTTTATTCAAAGTGAACCAATTTTAAATTTAACTGTGTTTTCCAGGAAAAAAAAAAGAAACAATGCTATTTCGCATTCGATTGAGATAGCAAAACATAAATGCTATTACATTATGCAATAATTGTTCAGAGTATGCGTTTATGCAACGTGGATTGCGCAACAACGTTTCGCGGTTAATAATAATAGGACATTATTCCAATTATATTTTTTTTTGTTCCTTATCAAAAGCGTTTACTAATATCAGCAATTTCAACCTGCGATTGTAAAAAAAAGCGTTTTTATTTTGTATGGCCTTGCATGTAATATTCTATTTACTCTCCTACTAAGCACTTGAAGAACTATCACTATTACGAGCCAGGAACTCCAAAAATATGTGCTTTGACCTATTCCTTATAAAGCATACGTTCTAATCCAAATGTATTTTTTGCCCCATTAACTCTAGCGCCGATCCTGCGTCTGCAATAATTCCAATGGAATCCGTTGTAATTGATAAATAACATTAATAGTCCATAGCATAAGAGAAATCATAAGCGAAAACACCGGTTTTCGAGAAACCTTTGGAGTCTATTAATTGAAGCAGGTTGGAAAACTTTTTCGAAGTTTACCTGCTTCTAGCTTTGTAGGTCTTAGAATGGGGAACAGTTCGAGAAATTACATATGCAGCATGATTGAGTTATCGTCTCGTGCACTCAATAAGAGATATCCTCCCATATGATAACTTACTCATGCGTAATACTACTACAACTAATTTCTTACGCAGAAATCCAAGGCAATACTCAACACGAGAATTCCAGTACTTGAGATTTAAATTTGATATGGTAAGACTAATACAAGTTCTTTCTGTAGTATCCATATTCATTGAGCAAAACTTGAATGAAAGTTCAAAAAATAAAGTTTTATTATGAAATAAAGCAAGAAAACATATTTCATAAAGTGAATGTTTTAACATATGAAAAAAGCAATTATATGAACTGTGACAATTTAATGACAGACATTATTCATTAAATTACCATGTAAACCACATTTTATGTAGAATATTGGGATCGTTAATTAAAATAACATGAAAGATTTCAAATTAATTACATGACTTATATTTAGCTTGTATCGCTGCTATTTGACTGCTGGATCATAATATGGATTCAATGATCTCAACTAGTGCTTCTATTCACAGTAAACAGTTTTATTGGTCAATATTATCGGTAAATTTTGATAAGAAATAATTTCGATATTTTTTTTTAAAGAAAAATTGAAAGTTTTACCAATTATATATTTCCTTTGAATTATATTTTTTTGCCTTTCTCTTTCTTCACCTTTTCTTTCTTGACCTTATAAGTTTTCTCTTTCTTCGACTTCATTTTTCTCTTTAGAATAAATTTTCTTGCTCTTCATAATTTCACCTGGATCTAACACACATGCTTTCAAACTCATCTGAACCCTCAAAATAATTTATAGATTCAGTATCATCCACTATAAATATCCTACTATCAATAATAGTAACAATGCAAAACTTTTCTTTACCAAAGACAACTTTCTCTGTTGCCTTCTATATCAACTTTAACTTTTTGAATTTCGTCCCCCATCAGATTCAATTTTCCTTTCGGATGATTCTATTCAACACTTTCTTCCAATATAGGTTCATCTTTGAATTGAGATAAATTGTGGTCTAAGCTGCTGGTAGTTAATATATTTTAATTCTTTTCATAGGTATCTTCATCATTTTCTTCTTTTATAACTATTTTTTTTTTCATCTTCATCATCAAGTCTTCGTTATTGAATATTTTTTTATCTTTCTTTATTGGATGAACATAAGGTTTTCCTATATCATTTTCAAACTGCTCACATTTAATCCATATCGCTTTATCCAGTCTTGTTTTCTTTATCTTATATTCATTTGCCTTTGATTTAAATTCCTTAGGAAACCTTACCACGCGGCAATTTAAAAAAAACCAACTTGGTTTCAATCCACTCTTCCAATATTGAACCATACGAGTCATGAAAACTATAGACCAAATCCATCAACATCACCTGTTTCCTGTGATAAAATAGGCGCTAGTTTACTTCTTAACTAGTTACGAGTTAAATACTAAAAAACTTTTCCTCCGCGGACTCTCAATTCAAATGAGCATTCATCCTTCAAAAGTCTTCGCACCTTCATGACGTGGGAAGGTTCCGGGCGCCACTTTCTTTTGTTGAGAAGAAGAATTCAATACTTTTTGCTCTCCTCAGATCAGTTTGTAAATATACAAAACTATGAAGTTAGCAAATGCACGTCAACGAATTGCAGAGTTCGAAATAATATCGAGCATTATACTGATATTTTAATCCCATTTTCTTATAATGCCTTACTATCGAACCTAATTTTCAGAACAAGATCTACTCGACAACTGAGCGTTATGCGTGAAATGAAAATTAAAAGATACAATCTTATTACATAACTACACTATAATTGTTAGTTTAGTCGAGAATCACTATTGTATAAGTTACATTTTCTTTTGCATTTAAAGTAATTGTCAATAATGAAAAAAATATTAAAATTAATATTAAAAAATCGATAATTTATTAACATAAACTGCTTTTTCTAGAAGATAAAACTTAACTTAATATTAGGAATAAATGAAAATAAACGTGAACCTCAAATAAATTGTTTTCACTATATGAAATTTATATGACGTCAATTATTTATTGGATAGACGGCGTTATAGATCAACGATACTTATAGGACAAAATATAGTAACATTTTCAACTAAAAAGGAATATAAATAACATTATGTATCTATGCTAAGTGCAATTTGATCGTGCAGAACAAACTCCATTGGGGGGTTTTGTGGCTTCAATTTGGTCCTCAACGCTGATAATGTGACTAAGACGGCTTCTTCAGTTCTAATTGTTCTCGAGCCCTGGTTCGGCAATGTGTTTAAGTAATAATTGAATAGTTTCTTTGGATCATTCTCCATTTTAGCACCGTCGCTTCCTAAAGCCGATTCAATACCAAATAAACCACCGAAGACAATCAAACAATGACTGTAATCCTTTTCAAAGGTATCCACAGATTCTCCTTTATCCGATGTTCCAATACTTAAGTCATATCTAGAAAATTAATTTGAAATTAGCTCCGCGTTTGCGAAAAACTAATAATATCTTACCCATTTTTGAATGGACATCCAGAGAATATATCCCAAAGGGACGTTGCTATTCGAACAGAGTATCCCCAATATACACCGGTCTCACGTCTAGGCGTCAGCGGTGAAACGACGGTCCCTGACTTCTTGTTTTCATTCACCCGAACTGTGCATCGCACCCCAGGTTCAAGCACTTTATCAATTTCAATATCATTTTGGAATCCGACATTGACAAAACTCTTTTCTTTCTGAGGTGATTCAATCACAACACCTTCCCTACACAGAGAAAAAACTAAAATAAATAATTGAAAATAAAAATATGAATAAATCTGTACCTGAATTCAAAAATATTTGCTGTCCTCAAATGATGTGGGGCATCCAATGGATTAAGTAGTCCTGCATTTCTGAGATCCTTGTGCATTGGGAAAAAACTTTTTCTTAGATATTGTGGGCACTCTAGATATTGCAATATGCGTCCAAACTGGAGACAAGCATTCTTTGAATTATACTCTTCCTCATCGTCTTGCTGTTGCTTCCAAGAAGGAGTCTTATTTTCACTTTCGTCATCAAATATTATGATCTCATCCACTTGGAACATGCATATAGCCCTGGCAATCTGACCAGCTAAGTAAGTTCTCAGTTCCACTGACTGTGCATTTTTTAGGATAGATCCAGGTACTGCAATACTTAAGGTTGATAGATCCTTTTTCAAAAAATTATCCAATTTTCCCTCAGCAATAAGTTTATCTTTTTCTATCTTTGCCAATAAAGCCATTTGCTTCTTATCCTTAAACGCTTTTTTCTTAAGCTTTTGCTGTGCTTTGAGCACATCTTTTGGCTGCTTTTTATTCAGAGGACCCATGTTAGAATAAATAATACACAATGATACACAAACACAAAATCACAAAACACGTGTTTTAAACACTAGCAACCAGTATCACAGCAGCATGCCGTGTGCACGAAGGCATATGAAAAATATGTTGTTTGATTCAAAACGTGGTGGCGCAGTTATCGACTCTTAGTTCAGCGGCAGTTCTTAAAGAGGCGCAGACTGACTGGAGCTATAAAGTCTTACAAAAATCCAGATGAGATTCTAATTAAAAACATAGCAAATAAATCAACATATTTTTCATTATTTTAAAGATCAAAATTTCTTATATAAAACATCTTTGCCAGATAACAAAGTTCGAATTAAATGATAATTTAATAATATTAACAAGTATAACAATTATAATAATAATTATATAAGATATAACTTTTAAGAATATAAAAAGGGAGTTCAATAGTTACATCTTTTATAATAGGTAAAAAATGGTGTGAATAAAACATTTTGAAGTTATGTAACTTTGTTTGGTTTCAAGCTTTGATGGCAACGGACCTTGCTACTTTTGCCAGTTTCAACAACAATAAAAAAAACAAGATACCAATGCAAGAAAAAATATATTATAAAAATATATCATTCTCTGGAACGTAAATTATATTAAATTCTATTAATTATTACCATTATTTAATAATTTTACTTGTAGATAAAGCAAAATGTTTTTTTTTTTAAATTTTAAATTGAACTACGGACTACTTCTGTTTACGTTGGTTTACGTCAGCCATGTCGGGTTTCCCATCAATGGACTGTCAAGGATTTTTACTGGTTGTTGCAATCAGTTGCAATAGAGATTTCACTTCTTAGCAGGGGGACTTCTTAGTTTAGTTTGAGTTTGAGTTCATTCGTTCAAGTTGATTTTAAACGTAAGCACAACAATGGCTTTAGTCAGTAATTTATTAAAGTATAGTTTAAGCGTTAGTACGAAAATAGTGAGAAATTCAAAATTTAGAAATGTACATACAACAGGTTCATTATTTAATCAAAAACTGTAAGTATTGGTTTCATATACTGTTATCATTTGTCAACATTGTTTTGCTTTTAGAGTTAAGGTCACCTTCATCCGAGCCAATGGTGATAAAATAGAAACAAAAGGAAAAATTGGTGACTCTTTATTAGATGTTGTAGTGAACAACAACCTTGATATTGATGGATTTGGTGCATGTGAGGGTACACTCACATGTTCCACTTGTCATTTGATATTAGATCCTGACGTGTACAAATCATTACCTGAAGGCCCATGCGAGGAGGAGAATGATATGCTGGATTTGGCATACGAAGTTTCTGAAACATCACGCTTGGGTTGCCAAATAATTTTAAGTGAAAAGCTAGATGGGTTGGAAGTAAAATTACCATCAACTATTAACGATGCTAGAGAGAATTAAAATAAAATTGCTACTTTATTGAATTTGCAACTCAGCATGTAAATTATAGAATTTTATATTGTTTATTGATTGGAGTTATTTACTCATTTTAAAAAATATATATATATATTAATATAATATAGATATCCAATGAACTGGATATTTAAATAAAGCTATATATTTTCAATAAATTTATTTATTTTTATCAGTAAAAATAGAATTAAAATAAAACATTATTTAAATTAATTGCAACATTTTTTTGTTGTTAATTACTGATGATAATGTTCAAGAATGTAGGTTGTTAGGGTAGAATACTAAAATTCCTATTTTCTTGGATTTTTGAATGCATTCAAAGAATTTGTTCATAAAATTCTAAAAAAAAAGCGAGTTTTCTCAAATTCGAGAAAATTATTCTAAAGTTAACAAATAAAAATATATAAACTGGTGTGTGTTGTAGCGTTGGGCGCAGTGAAGTTATTCGGTCAAAAGCTAGGATACGAAAAAATGTTGGATCATAACTTTCCTCTCCCTCTCCTATGGATAAAGGCAATGACGGTACTTCTCATCGGAAGTAGTTTGTTCGATTAAAATTATATGATCCATGGAATTACTTAGAATCGTCGAGAATATAGTATCAATTATGATGGTTCTTTTATGTTTGTAGATTTCTTATTTATTCTTTTGATTTTTAGGGCGGTCATGAAAGTCAATCGTAAAAATCAATGATGTCCACAATTTCTTTGCAAAAGCAAGACGTTGAAAATTAACTTTGATTATTGAATTACTATATATGAAGATTGTGCACTCCCTTAACGAGTGTATTTCTTTGGTGGACGAGACAAAGACGCATAACGATTATATTATCACTATAATCACAAATGAAATAGTCCAAGGTTCCATAAAAATATTAGATAATGACCATTAGATTATTTATTTTAAAACTGGATTTTTCTACTCTACCGTCTTTTTACGGCAAATCCTCTTGGTCTTTCATAAAATAATCGTGAAAAGAGAAAGAGATGAAGCAATAACAATTTCTGTCACAAGGAAAATTACAGCAACTTATTTCAGGAAAAAGTAATGAAGTTTTAAATGCAGTTATAAAACAAGTAGACAATAGATATAAGAAGTAAATAGTAATTTTGGTAATTTTTACATACAATTTATTATACCATTTATTATTGATATTTGTATTTTTATATCTTTTGTATTTACATAACTACTTAGTACTTTTCCACTTTTGAAAGATTCCACAACTAATCTATGTGTAACGACTATTATTAATTAATTTATAATGACTATTGCTATATATACATTCGAAAGTGCATACAAACCACTTCGATAATGACTATAGATATGAACATTTGCTAGATTAGGGCTGCTCAGCGGGATCCATCAATAGAAAAATGTACTCGTTTTTAAATTTATTATTTATAACAAACGAGGAAATCGGAAGCAAAACGGTATTCATAGGCGTGTTGGGACGAGGGACAAGACTGAAATGGTAGTAGACGTGGCAATTTGATTTTGCTCTAAACTTTAATTTTCAAATTTTAATGCAACAAAATAAGAAACAATTTAAAAAATATATAAAATTATATATTTCGTGAATTATAAAACCATTTGAAATCCAATATATATTTATTATTATGAAAAAAAAGTCGATTAATTCAGAAAGAGGTGATTTAAGATATTTTAACACTGTTAGAATTTTCGAATCGAACTCAGTTCAAAAAATTTCATCGAAATCGGTCGACTCTTTAGAAAAATAAAACAT